AAAATGAAAATGAAAATAAAAAACTGCTGCCAAACATACAACGTGCAACATCAAAGCGTGTGTAGGCGCGCCAGTGTGGCAGGCAGCTTTTAAAAGGGGCAAAATTTCTTGTACACATATGCATTTGTGTTGTTGTTRCTGTTTTGCTGTTTCATAAAGCTGCATGCCGCATAAAAGCCGATAAGCAGTTTTAAGGTCACACTTGTCGCTGTTATTAAATTTCGGCTGTTCGTTGTTGACACATATATGTTTTGGTGATGCATTTTGGCCACTTATGTTGTAGTATAATGTTTCTTGTTGTTGTACAAACTTTTTTTTTTTTGTATTTTTGGCAGCGTTCCGCTCTGACTGACAATCAATGCCGCCCGTTTACAACATTTTTCGGCGTCTTTGTTTGAGATTTTCGGGTACGCGGCGACAAGGTTCAGATTTTGGGGTTCAGGATGCCCATGTATATGTAAAGCATATATAYTTTGTAGCACATATTGACATAAACACATATTGCTGCGATAATTTGGTAGAAAATTTGTTTTCGCCGCGGAATTTGCATGTCAAGTTTTTTGTGGCAAGTGTATTGGTTGCAAGGCTTCAAATACATATTGCGTGTGTAAGGAGATTTTGTACTTGAGGTAAAAATATTAACATTGAGTGCACTATTTGGCATTAATTTTTTTTTATTATTGCCTTGAACCTTTCCTCTAAGAATTTCAAATATTTTGTGAAAATTTTTTATTGTGAAAAAAAAAATGTAAAGCACTATGAACGCCTACGCTTGACGTTGTCCAACAATTGAAGAAAAAAATTAATGCGTGCAACGCTCCGTTGTGAAGGGCAAGCGGTCGACTTTGCACTGTTGTTGTTGATGTGTTTCGCGCATTTTTGTTGTGCATTTTCTGCACTATCATTATTTCGCTTTATCKGTGAATGAGGCGAACGAAATAAATCAGGTAGGCGAACATTTGATCGCGCTGCAAAGGTAGGCTGTTGCACCGGGCGGCAGCACTGAGATTGGCCACGAGGCRGAACGAAGTACACAAAAGCAACAACACAAGCAAGCATTTATCGAAYATGTATTACTTTTGCATTGATTGCGGTATTAATTTCACATAGCAACATAGCAACCATAAAATTAATGATAATACATAATAACAGCAACAACAGAGGCAGCAACAGCYAGCAAGGGCTTAACGGCAACGACACCACAATGTCGCAATGGATTCAATGACACTACGCGTCAGTGTGGCATGAATGGACACCAGACAAGGTGGACCGGCTGGACGGACAGCCCAGGCGGCAAGCGAGCGTGGTGAACTACTTAACACACATATGCACACACACACAKGCATATGTATATATTTATTATGCATTTATTGAAATATATACTCGTCGGCGCGTTGCATTTGTAAGCAATCGAAAAAGGGCAACAAAAGTGAAGGCGACACAGATTTCGCTGTCACGTTGCAAGCAAGCGGGCGGCAGCATGCGGTCACACGTAATGCGCATATTGTTATGCAACAACCGATTGTGGAGCAGTTGGTGTCCACTTTGCGTTGGTTTTGTTGTTGCTTTTCGTTGTTTTTGGTGTTGGTCACAGCGAAACRCAAGACTTTGGCAACGAACTTTAATGCGCAAAGGAAGTGACGTTGATGCGCGCGCGGCTGTGGGCCGTTGCAGATGAAGTAGGAGGCACAGTGCTGTGCAATAATATGAAGCGCTGCTGTGGCAGCTGCATAGCTGTCACTTACCGCTTACGCAATAATATTTGCAACACAATATTGTTTTTTAGTGGATTTATTTGCAGTTTTAATTGTAATTTTGTGTGTGTGTGTGTGGCACCGTGACAGACTTTTCATTTCAACTGTATGGCTGCGTGCGCAAATGTATTGCGTTGCATGTCAATCAAATCAAAATGCCAGCCGAAGGCAACAGATCACACACAACAACGGCACACACGGTTAGGTGAGTACAGTTATTTAGGTGCGGCAGGCGGCCGTTGAACGCGTGTCAGCTATGCGGCTACTTGCCACGGACATTCCCATTCGCAGCTGTCAAAATTTTTAATTAAAAACTTGTAAACACATACACACACTCCGCATGGCACACGCACACATGCTTGCAACAWGCCTGCAAAATTGCATTTTATAATCCTTTTGAGCGACGCTGACGACGAAATGACAGCCAAATCGGATGCACGATCAACTAGTCGCAAAAGCAACACTGCATATATATGTGTGTGTGTGTGTAATAAAAGTAAGTGCGTAACGGACGTCACGACCCTTGAATATAATGTAATCGCTTATAAATAGTATGTGGTGTGTTAGCTGCCACTTGGCATTGATTGACGCCTACCGAAACTGTCACTGGGTGCCAAGCAGCAGTCAGCAGTCASCAGTCACCAGTCACCRGCCACCGCTGACCGGTGACTAGCCGCCAGCAGCAAGTGCCGCCATTGCATGGAAGCTGTGATTAAATATTATGCATAATCCTGTTGCTGCTGCTGCTGCACGCATGTTGCCGTTGGCGTACATTAGCACTTGCTGTAAGTTTTGTTTATTTATTATTATTTTATGCCTGTGGTGGCATGCAACTAGCAATAATAGTTGTGTGCTGGCACTTACCTTATCGCAGAAKACCTTAATTTGGCAGTAGCCTCGATGGAAGACCTGTGCATCGCGCGGATCCTCGAATGTGTCGATTTGAATGTGCAACGGTAGACCCTGAAACAGAGTAGAGAATAATTAAATATCATAATTTTTAAAATGCTCGCAAAGTGGTTATTAACAATTGAAAATGAAACAATATTTATGGCGTATGTCACCAAAGTCTACACTTTTCACTTGCAACAAAGCACATTTTGCATATTTATGTCTGCTTTGTTATTGTCATTATTTTTTTGCATTTTTTCGAACTCCGCTTGTTGTTGTCATTATTAACAAGGCATGTTGTAGCAGTCACAGCTAAATTTTTTCCCTTTTTCAATTTAATTTTCATTAGCAGCACTCGCGGCTTTTGATATACGACCGCATGTGCATGTGTGCGTTGCATGTGTTTGTATGTGTGTGTGCTTTACTTTGCAGCCATTAATAATATTTCTTTGACATGCGAAATTGTTGTAGTTGTCATGGTTCGACGTTGTTACAGCGGTACTGTCGTTGTTGCTACTTATTTGTTTCCTTTTCTGTGTTTGTTATTGTTGTAATTGTGTTATATTTGCACTYATTCTCGGTCGGCTTGTCATTTACAAGCCGTTTTTTTGCGCTATCGCCTCGTCCTTCACGTGCGCTTATTTATTTATTATCGTTCTGTGTCCACATTTTGACGCTGTTGTTAATTTTTATTGTCCTTGTTGTTGTTGTTGTTGTTATTATTGAACAAATATTCGAAAATCGGTCGTACGCGGCTCTCGCTCTCGCCAGCAGGCATGACATATTGCATTCGTACGCCATGCATGCAACCAATGCCCAGCGTGGCAAGGCGTTATAGCAATGCAATAACAACACCAAACGTAATAGAAACAATAAAAGCGCTTACAAGTGTCTAAAGCAGTGCAAAGTGTAGCATGAAAGCTGTTGCCACAGCGGCGCACCTTGCGCTCGACAAGTGCAACAAGTGCAGCTTGCCACAAACGCAACGGCGGTCAATGTGGCAAGTGGTTGCTGGGAAGTCTGCTTAAAAATGACAAGTTTTGAGAGTGTTGCCGTGTGTTTGCTGCATGTTGCACGCATTTGCCAGCATTACATGTGTTGCAAGTGTAGCAAATGTGGCAGATGAGGCAAGTGTGTACCGTGCAATCAATATATTTATTTGCCAAGTCGTTGTTGCTGCCATTGCGCACTCACTTATTGACAGAAATGTAACATGTCGTTTGCTTGTAACGCGTTTATTCGCATTGTCATTACCRATAATATTGTTGCTGCTTTGCGCTTGCTGTTTTTGTTGTTGCTGTTGCATTCGTCTACTTTGTTTCACTCGAATAACACATGTACATGCCACAAATCGTTTGCGCTGCAACGGTTTCATTTTAAGCAATGCATGGCAGTGAAATGATGATGCATGCAACATGCAGGATGTACCCCATTGCTGCAACAGCGGTGACAATATGTGGCAAACAAAGGTAACGAAAAAAAATCAAATTCACCAAAGCATTGCTGCACGCACGCAGACCGCATAACAACAAATGCACGACGACGCAACAAGTTGTCGCGCAATGAGAAATATGTGGGCATTGCGCTGCAGCAAATGACAAGCACAACAACAACAACATCAATAATAAAAATAACAATAATAGCACAAACAGCAATTTTCCAAGTCAATGGCAAGCGCGYTTGCTGTTGTTGTTGTTTATACACTTGTTGTTATTGTTTTTGCTATTGCAATTTTCCTTTTGCAGCCCAACAACTCTGGCGGCCAGCTTGTCTGGCACGCCGGATCAGCCAGCGCGGCTGCAAGCTGGGCCAGTTTWGCCGTGTGACCGCCAATCGGACCGCTTTTTCAGCGCGACGCTGGGCGGTTGTTGTTTTTGGAGGTATTGTTGCTGTTGTCGGGCGTGCCGCTGTGTGGCTGCGCGTGTGCGTTTGTCGCAGACAGCGGAAATTGATTCGTACATTTCATTTTGTAGTCTGGACCGCTGYGCACCTCTTGTGTGTGTGTGTGTGTTTTGTCTGCCACATGGCGATTAATTGCCGTGCAACACGCACTGCCGCGACACTCTTGTCATTGCTCGTATGCAGTGTTGCCATTGCCAGTAGCCGCTGGCTATTTGCCGTTAGCTATAGACGGCTGGCATTTCGATTTAATTTCGCCAGCTGCACCAACGCGTCGGCCAATTCAGGCGCGTTGTGTTTTGATGCTTTTTTTGTCTAGCGCTTACAAGAAGCATAGCGCGGTATAATCGCGTAAATCGAATGATAAAAACTGCACATGAAAATGCTAAATTTGCCCCTGCGTAACATGCCTGAGCGTGTGTGCGTTTAGTTGCGCATGCGCGCGAACTTTCTACGCATCTCGCGGTGCGTGTTGGCGACTTTCCCCCAACGCAAATGATATACAATAAATTATATTTAGTTTCACATTTAGTTTTTGCAGGTTACAATTTAATGTACGCACAAAAACAACTACAATGCAGTGCGACTTTCATGCAATTCTATGCGTGGAAAGTTTATGGCTTGCAACATTCGATTTGTCATTAATTCATTARTATATTTTAAGGTTTATTTCGCTGCAGTTTCGCTTTACATTTTAATCAAGCGGTTTTATCGGTTTAGCAGAAATATTTGTCGATTTTTTATATGTTTTTGTTCATTTACCACTAACTGCTGCTTTTGAAGGCATAAAAATATAATTTGATACGCAAATTGGTTTTTTTTTTCAAAATCGTTTAGTTTTCAAAAATCACTACTTTATTCAAACGTAATTTTTTTTCAAAAATCTTATAAATTTCAAAAATCATTAATTTTTCCAACACTAATATTTTTCAAACATCATTATTTTATTCAAAAATCATTACTTTTCCAAAAACTCATAAATTTTGCAGGTGTCCCTTTTGTTTGCAGTTGCTACTTTATCAAACTCATTAAATATTGTACTTTATGTGGCAGGAAATCCCAGCGAGTGCCTGACCGTGATAGTTTAATTGTTGTGCCCAACAAAAGCGTGAATCTTTCCTAATTTTTTTATCACCTCACAGCAATCCCCAAAGTTAATCGTATTAGAAAACCTTCTACTTTCCACTTGTTCACTTTCCTTTTCGTTTAATCAGCATTTTTCCYTTACTCTCTGCAGGCGGGTGTTTGAACTCACTTTTTGTGTTTTTTTGTTGCCGCTAATAGCATTGCAACATGATATTTAAAATCCTCTTAGACAATTTGAAAAGTCACACATTTACACTTCTGACCCTGATTGATTTACGCCTTATTGACTGCTGCGCACTAACAACACACACCAAGGCACTCTGTGTGGATTGTGAGAGTAAAATAATTGATCACTACGATCCTAATGATGTTTGTGCGCAACTGTCGTCGCACAAATTGACCGTGGATCATTAGTGAAGATGAGGGCATGGCTTCGATATTTGAGGGTAGTTGTGCTGCTTGTGCAGGGGTAGGACGGCAAACCAAAAGGTAAACAAAAAACCGGCTGTGCATTGTATTATAGACTTATGATACTTTATGTGTAGTTGGTGTAATGCTGTGATTATGATAAAATGGGAGTAACTTTTGTTTGAGTATGCTGTGCTGATGTAATGTTTTCAAAACGATTAGCCCAGGTAGTGGTGAAAATTGTTAATAGTAATTAAAATGCGCAAGTAGTCAAAGAAATGCAATCGCCGCGCAAATGAAACACATGACGAAAATATAAATTTTGAAGGTCGAGTTCTTAACCGATTGGGCCTTAAAGTAGATCGTTCTCTATACTCATTTTTCAAACCTCGAGTTATATACTCTATGTTTGATTTATAGTTCATATTGCTATGAACAGAAAATTTTATGATTTTTTTTTAATGTGAAATGTCGCCCTAAATTTAATTTTATTTCTAAAATTATATAATTAGCTTGASACTTACTTTTATGCTTGGTGCTTGAAAATCGACGATTAACAGTCAGGGATCTTACCGGCATCGTTGAAATATCGGAAGGATCACTTAAAACCACTTTGAAAGATTATTTGGGTCTAAGAAAAGTGAAACCTACATTTTTTCGAAAAACAGCGTCGTGTTAATGTCTGTGAAACAATGCCTTCCGACTACCAGGATATTATGAAACGTATTATTACAGGAGGTGAGCCGAAAAAATCACGTCGAAGCGAGTCAAAAATCAAGGWKAWATTGATAGTTTTCTTCGATTATCGAGGAGTCGAGCACTCCGAATTTCCCTGTTCGTAAAAAGAGCCGGAATTGTRAGCCGACAACTCTGGTTTTTGCACCACGATAACGTRCCGTCACATACTGCATTGATTCTTCAATGTAAGGTTTGACCGTCCGAGTCAAGTTAGATCGTGAGTATTGAAAGAGATAAAGGCAAATAATTTTGAAAAATAGTCCCTTGCCAAAACTCTGCACTGAGCTAAGTCGGAGATTTCAAACGAATATATAAATATATATATATATCAATTAAACAACAACTGACATTTGTTATCATAACTGTTTTTATTCCATAAATGCTTGTCATTTGAAATCAGTCAGTTGTTAATGTCAACTAAAAATATGAACACCTCTTCCAATACAATGTTGCAAGCCTTTTTAATGCAGCCGCAAGGTGTTACAATGTATATTCTTAAATTCTACAAATACTTTCGATAAGTTATCCACATACCTTAACTCCCTTTTGGCTGCTGAAGTCCGTACTCAGGCACTGGACGGCGATGTTGATCTGCAAAGGAAAAGATGAAGAAGGAGAAAAATTCAGAATTAATATATGTGAGAGAATTATTATGACAAGAATATGAAATATTAGAGTTATGAAAGAGAGATTGAGGAAGAACAGGAAGAACAAGCAGCCAAACGAGTTGGGGAATGGCAACTTTATGCCACTTATCGCACACGAGTATCAATTACATTGTATTCGGGTATGCGATTGGAAGGCGAATTTCTGGCTAATTGTTTTGCATTGCTTGCATAGAGCGAATAAACGCTTTCGATAAATGCTTGCGAGTACAACAAAAAAGTGGAATACTAATTAGTGGCAGCTAAAGAACGCCAGCTGCCGACAAATATAGCTGAGGATATGTGGCGACATATTTATATACCTACGCTGTTTTACCGCTGTTAGGGGGGTCAGGAAATTAAAAAAATATATATTTTTTAATAAATTTCCCTCAGCTGATATTCGATTTGATAGAAGTTTGGTTGAAAACAGTGGTGGCAGCAGTTGACCRGCAAAACATTGTACCGAGCAAAGGYAAGGYAGTGCTGAATCAGAAATCGAATATAACGAAAAACAAAACTTAAAGTAATGAACTAAAAGAAATCTGTGAAAAACAACAAAAAAATAAGCAAAATTACCACAACAATATTAATTGTGTTACTGCAATATAAAGCAACAATGAATACTTATTGATAAACAGCASTGACACAACAACGTAAAAAATACAAAAGCAACCCATACATACAACAACAATAACAACAACACTTTAAACAATGTTGCTGCCACGCCATTAGCAGTCGCATTGTTCAATAATATACAACTGTGAATATTTTTATTGAAGTTGCCGTTTTTTGTTTCACTGCTATTGTTGCAACTCGTGCTAATACTGTTGTTGCTGTTGTTGTTTCACATCTCTTGCAGCAGCCAACGGCGGCATCGAACGTTTTAATGGGAATTAATTAGCTAAAGCGCACCATATAAAGTGCATCATTCGAGCTGTTGCTGTTGCAAGTTAGTGATCAATACAACAACAACAAGAAAGTGCAGCAGTATGTACGTAAAGTGTGTTGGAAGGGTGTGCAGGAAAACATGTGGTTGTATTGAAGTGTAGCATTAATGTTGTTGCTGTTGTTGTACAACAATTGTATTTGAAATATTTTTACAGTTGCCGCAATGCAACAGTAGCAGCACATAGTTGAGTTTTGCCCAACGGAGTGCAGCGTGTAAGTATCTTAGAAATGTTGCCACGTTGGTTGTTGTATGTGTGCGTGCGTGCATATAAAGAGCTGTGGTTGCCGACCATTGGACATTGTCAGCCACAATGGTTGACAAAGTGGCAATCAAGAGCGCTTTACGGCTTAGCACATTCACTTTAGGTGGGATTATGCATTCCGCGTGTGGCTAACCCGCCCTTTATGACTTTTGTGCGCTTTCATTGTATGTTGCAAGTAGCAACAACTTGAACAAGGTGACGCACTTAGCTCAGGCACACAAATGCACGCACGAACATTTGCACTTGTTCACAAGTGAATGCATGAAGTATGCCTTAAAGACGGTATGCGGTTACAATAGCCATTATATWTGCAACAAAAGTTGTATTAGCCCGGCATATTTGTGCGTGCAACGCGAATTTACTGCTATTTGGATTAGTGAAAGATATTTTTTGTAAATGCGTGATTTATTAATGATTTTGAACTTTTACCATCAACTTGACAGCTCCTCGAATACAGAAGCTCAATAGGAAGATTCTGTGAAAGCTTAATTGGAAGTTTTATTAAAATATAACGATGTCGCAAAAATTTCGTTCTTTCGAGTGAGGAAGTGAAAGCTCAACCAAAGTTTGTATGAAAGTTTAATTAAATAGTGGATACATTAGATTGTAAAATTTTTTTTAACGCTCATAATATATGAAAGAAAGCTTTCTGCTACTACTTAAATATATTATTTTGAACGAAGTCATGAAATTTTTATTATTTTGAAGAAGTGAAAGCTCAATCAAAAGTTTCAATGAAAACTTAATTAAGCATTATGCAGTCATATATGCGATTGAATGATCTTTTTTAAGCGATCATAAATAAATGAAAGCTTTTGACATTTGAAAGTGATTCTTTTAAAACGAAAAAAGTTAATTTTTTTAAATATAAAGAGAGGAAAGCTCAAATGGATGTACTCTTTTAAACAGTTCACCCAATTTTAAATATTTCTAAGAGGTGAAGATGAAAGCTAATTTTCTATCAACCATAAGGAAGTAAAAGCTTCCGCGGTGGAGMTTACATGTGAATATTTTCTCAGCAATTTTATATTTTTCTTATTTTGGTTTGCGGCAGTGACGAAAAATATTTGTGCTGCCGGCAATAAAACTTTGCATATTCAGTCATATGCAAACAAATTCACTAAAATGAGAATTATTTTTATTATACAGCTGCACAGCAYAGCCAATGCGGCACGCTTTATGCCTCACTGTGCGGAATCATCGCCAAATGCAGCCACAGCATATCTTTATTGAACGCCTGCTTGCACGCCTATTGATGGCTGTTGTTCAATAGCGCAACTATTTGTTATTGTTGCTGGCTGATTGTTTGTTTGTTGATGCTGTTGTTTTCCTTCACTACATTTGGCATTGGAAAGCGCTGCGTTCGGGGGTTTATTGACCAATTTGGTGGCAGTGGCACCGCTACAATTGCCGTTTAACGTTTATCGGCGCGCAAGTGGCAAGTGGCAAGTCAATGCACCAACCTGATAGATAAACAACAACAACGACGCTGCGCTACAACAATTGGTAGCCCGAGACATTAAGCAGACAGTTGAATGCCAGCGAAGCCACTAAAGCGACTAGTGTACGACCGACTTGGTTGAGGCAGTGGCGGCGCTGAGTCGGGCGTACGGCCGGTGGGGCGTGCGGCATGGCAACAAAGTGGCATGAGCATGCGCTCATGTTCCGTCGATTATTTAAAATTAATTTGTGCGATTGTGGCATGCGTTGCCACCGGCATATTTACACATTTACCGCATGCGAACGTACGTTCAGCATTTGCTGTGCAACCATTTTTGGTGGTGGCGGCCATAAAGTTGTGGCACTGGCCGCGTGCACTAGGTGGCAGCATGGAGCGGGATGAAATTGCAGAAATAAAATCAATAAATGCGGACATTCGGTTGCATAGGCAATTTGTATGTTTATATGCGCGCGCATGCGCCGCTCTGTGTTTACATTGAGCTGCACGTGCGCCTGTGTGTGTGTGTATTTGAAATTTCTCTGAACCTTTCACTTGCCAGCACTTTATGGATTTGTGGTGTTCTTGCCACATGTGAGTTGATGATGCGCGCATAGAAGGCGTTGCTGCGCATATTTCCCCACTTGCCACGCTGCACTCTTCTACTGCTTGCGCTATRGTTGCACATATGCCGCCGGTGATCGCCGGACAGATTACTTGYGCTTTGGAACATTGCCCGATGGATCGCTGCGAGAATCGCGCAAATCGTTTTAATCAATTGGCCACCGCTGTGCAGCAAGCGTGGTACTTTGTTGCCGCTGCCGCTAACGCTGAGGCGATTGACCGCGACGAACGCGGCTTTAACCATCATATTGCCGGCATAGGCTGCACTAGCGCTGTCAGTTATTTGTGTGAGTATGTGTGTACGCGCAGAGAGACAAATGCAATGAGTTTATGGTTTGGGAGTTTAGGAGTTTAGAGTTGAGAGCAGCAGGTGGTCAAAGGTATGCCTGTCATATTTTCTATGCTTTTTGGTTGCGCTACGGGCGCGCATTATGTGCGCGTTTAGTGTTGTTGTTGTTATATAAATTTCAAAGAGACAAGTTGAATAATTGCCTAGATGGATTTGCCCATTATTATTGAGATTTTGTCAAAAGAGGAGATATTCAAATAACTTTGGAAGCTTAGTTTATATTTCTTACAGTTATTTTTATGCGCTAACAGTGAAAATTTGGGAAGCTTTGATCGGATTTTTGCTTGTTATAGCACTTTGGTTTTCTTTGGTGTAATAACAGCTAAAATTCAAACAGTGTTTATTATTAAGCGATCAATCATTTCTTATATGAAAAACTATAATAAAAGATTTTTATTGGCTAATTCACTGAGTATAAAGTAGAATATAATATTTCTGTTAATTATAGTTATAYATTAAATTTCTTATAAATTTTTGCGGCACGGATTTTTTTACATTGAAAAAGTTTTGTCTACATTTCGGCGCAAAGTTCATTTTTCGTGACCTTACACATCATAATGTCAAAGTGTTCAATAAAAGGCTGTTGGTATTCTATTTGAGCTGTCCAGCGATCAGACTAATGAAATTACATACAAGGGCAGCGATAAAATTGGACTAAAATATTGGTAGTCGAAAAAGTATTTTCGTATTTTGTCACTAGATGTTATTGCAGTCGTATATCTGCAGTGCAACCAATCATATTGTGCCATACCATATAGTATTGGAAAGGTGAGATTTTAGCTTCATTTAACCACAAAAAGAAAAAAAATGAAAATTCGAAGAAGTTGACAAAAAGTTACAGCGGTTTAAAAATKAGTGAAAATAATGAAGCTATATTTAGAAATTTTTGTATAAAAAAGATGAGAAGAATGCCACGCAAGCCGTCAATCAAATTTTGGAAGTCTACGGAGAAGATGCTCCAAGAACTAAACTAATATTCTTAAAAAATTACATATTACAACACCGCAAGCATTTACAATAAAAAAAAACATGCAAATATGAAAAAAAAAACTCGTAAATCAGTTTAGCGCGCCACGTGCAACATTTCAAGTAACAAAATGCATAAATTTAAGACCACAAACAAAAAAAAAGGAAAACACCATTTGTCTCTCACTTATTATATATCACCGTTCAAACACATTCTTCATGTCTTACAATAATATATGTACATGTATCTTCTTCTCGAGCGCGCTTATCAACGCGAAAGCATCTACGCGCTGCGCCACGGCAAACGGAAAAAATCGCATCGCAAGTGAGATCTAATCGCAGCGCATTCAATTGCG